GCTGTTTACTCCAACTCTTGGCTGATTGCCAAGGCTCGTGATTCCCGCTTGCTTACTCCAAAGTATGGAGAGGCCAAACAGGTGCTGCCAGCCTGGTGATCTTGCTACATGCCTATGAGCTACACTCTGCCTGGCCGCTGCACGTGTGTGAGCCCTGATTGATACCGGCTGGGGGGAGGGCTGTTGGAAAACGCTATATAAAGAGCTGAAGTGTGTAATAGTGAGGACACAGCATCATAGGACACAGCATCATAAGGGACCAGCATCATAGTGAGCCAGCATCATAGTGAGCCAGCATCATAGTGAGCCAGCATCATAGTGAGCCAGCATCATAGTGAAGAGAATACGAGAGAATAAAGGAGAAAGAGAAACAGAAGCTTGAACCTCACCTTGGTGTCTGTGTCGTCTTTCCGGGACTCTGCTGGACAGAGTCCCGGCTCGCGACATACACCTGTGTCGTGCAATACTGCGGAGGTCAGAAGAGGGCTTCAGATTCCCCTGGAACTGGAGTTAAGAACAGTTTACAGCTGCCATGTGGGTGTTGGGAATTGAACCCGGGTCTTCTGCAAGAGTAGTTAGTGCTCTTAACCACTGAGCCATCTCTCCAGCCCCTATTTTATGAAATGGGATCTTACCATAAACAGCACTCCGCCACATATTTTTCCATATAGCTTTATGTACCTGCCATCCTTCTTTATTAATACACATGGCTCTACCATTCTTCTGAATAGCAACACAGTATTCTCCTTTACAGATACACTACAATTATGTAACCAATCATACACTTAGGGATATTTGGTGTTTTTGTTTTGTTTTGAGTCAGGGTCTCACTATGCATCGCTGGCTGGACTGGAACTTGCTATGTAGACCAGGCTAGCCTCAAACGCACAAAGATCTGCCTGGATTAAAGACTTGCACCACAATGCTCAGCTTACTTAGTGACATTTGTTTTTCAATTTTTCTTTGCTAGTAAAATACTAAAAACAGGGCTGGAGAAATGGCTCAGCAGTTAAGAGCACTGGCTGCTCTTGCAGAACAGTTCCTAGCACGCACATGGCAGCCAACAACTGTCCATAACTCCAGTTCCACAGGATCCAACACCCTCTTCTGACCTTCACAGGCACTGTATGACATGGGTATACTTACATACAAGCAGGCAATACACTCATACGTATAAAATTTTTAAAATAATAAAATTACAAAATACTAAAAACATGTTTGTGTGTACTTAGCATATTAGTTGAATAAATTCCTATCAGTTCAATGGTTAAGTAAATAATGTACAAACTGCCCTCCAAGAAACTAACAATGCACACTTCCATTAATCCATTTCCACACAATGTTATTTCTGATCTTTGTCATCTTTACCAATAAAATATAATAGCCTCTCTATCCATCGTCTTGCTTTCCAGAGTTTCCGTACCAGATGTTAGATGTGATCTGAAAATTTAAATGGAAAGTTCCAGAATTAAAACAATTGTTGAGTTTTAAATTGTAAGCCATCCTAGATAGTATGGTAAAATCTTACACTATCCAGAAGCACTCTGCCCTGGAAAAGAGTCATTCCTTTGTCCAGCCTACAAATGCTGTCTACACTGTCCAGCTATTAGTCACTCAGTGGCTGCTTCTGTCAATCAGATTGACGGTCTTGGTATCAGAGTTCTCATGTTCAATTAACCATACTGTAATGTCCTAATGCTATGTCACAATGCCTCTGTCACACTCCTTACTTCATCTTATCACATAGACTGCATTATCTCAAACCATCACAAGGGTGGGTATACTATAATAAGGCATTTTGAGAGAAACCATAGTCATCCAACTTATTACAACTGCTTTTCAGTTAGTTTGTCTAAAAACATACACGGTTTAATACTATCTATAGTTTCAGGTATCCAGCAAAGGTCTCAGAACTGAGCCCCTGCAGATAAGGGAAAACTAGTGTATTGGCTATTTGTATTTCTTCTAATTTTCTTGCCCATGTCCTCTGCTCATTTTTCTATTGGGTTTTATGATTTTCTTACCAGTAATGAAAAACGTTTTTCAAACCTTTATTTCCTTTAGACTTGGGTTCTGGTAAGTTTTTTTTTTTTTTTCCTCTTAAATTTGTAAGTAATACATGTTTTAAATTTATAGAGTCCAAGCCGGGCGTGGTGGTGCACGCCTGTAGTCCTGGTACTTGGGAGGCAGAGGCAGGTGGATCTCTGTGAGTTCAAGGCCAGCCTGGTCTACATAGTGAGTTCCAGGACAGCTGGGGCTACAGGGAGACCCTGTCTCAAAAAGACCAAAAAAAAAAAAAATTATAGAGTCCAAAGTATTAATCTTTTCCTCTCTGGCTTTGGATGATTGCATGATACATCAGAAAATCTTTCATTGTCATAAGATTATAAGAATCTTCTTGAACTTTGTGATAAAATTTTCCTTATTTTTTATTAGCACACATTAATTATACATAATGGGCTTCATTATGACGTTCTCACACATGTATATAATGTATCATACTCACTCCCTTGTTTCCCTCCCTCCTCCTTGATCCCCTTCTATGTCTTCTTTGTGTGTGTGTGTGTGTGTGTGACAAATGAGTTCAGGGTTGCTTACAGGAATATGGGTGATGGGTTATTTACAGTAGCATGGGAAACTTAGCACATCAACACCACTGAAGAAAATGTTTTTCCCCACCCAGCACCCTTTATCTGCCTATAGATCCTCAGGGAGTGTCCTTTCTACTCCCTGACTCCATGAAGGAATGTTGACAGGCTCAATCCTATATAGATCATATGCAGGTAAATGTGCTATACTTATTAACTCTTAAATTTTGGTCCAGCTGGGCATGGTGGCAGAGGCAGGTGAATCTCTGTGAGTTCAAGGCCAGACCCTCCATGGCAAATTCAGGCCAGCTGTGGCTACAGAGAGACCCTGTCTCAAAAAAAAAAAAAAAAAAAAAAATTCTGTTCCATTTGCAGGTTGGAGCAATGGCTCAGTGGGTAAGACCACCAGCCTCCAAGCCTAGTGACCTAAGTTCAGTCCTTAGAATCCACATGGTAGAGAAGAGAACCAACTATCATAAGTTGTCCTCTGACTTACACAGGCATGCTGTGGCACAAACATGCACATACACACAATGAATAAACAAACATAAACTAAAAATTTACAAATACACACAATGACACATACACACAATGAATAAACAAACATAAACTAAAAAAATTTGGTGCTCAAAATGGGCATAATTATTTTTTCCTAAATTACTATTAGACACTTAATAAAATCCATTTTTTTCAAGCTGAAATGAAATACCTTTAATACATTTTTTTCTTTTAAGATAGGGTCTCATGTAGCCCAGAATTCACTATATAGTCAAGGATGACCCTGAACTTCTGATAGCTCCTACTTCAGACGTGTCACCATGCCTTTCCACTAACACTCTTCGTCTGTGCTGAGAATCAAATCCAGGGCCTTCAACAAGCAACATCCCTAGCCCCTCCAATGAAATCTGAAAACGATTTTGTCATGTTGATTTCATCATGTGAACACAGCTATCTTTTTTTTTTTTTTTTGAGACAGGGTCTCTCTACCGTAGTAGCCCCAGCTGTCCTGGATTCACCATGGAGACCAGGCTGGCCTCGAACTCACAGAGATCCGCCTGCCTCTGCCTCCTGAGTGCTGGGATTAAAGGCGTGCACCACCACGCCCGGCCTAATGTTCCAGCCCATCCACTACACGCTTGTTTTCGTGTTGCATACATACAATACTTTCTCTAGTTTCCTGACTAACGTCTTCAATGATCATCTAGTGGCTGCACTGACCTATCACTGCATGATTATGCGACATAAGCCAAGTTAAGCATCACAGACAGTATTGTAATTTACATTTTTCTGCTTGAGCCACTTATTTTTTGAAGGGCCGAATCCTGGGAAAAGTGAATAAGCCGCTTTGAGCTCTGCATGACTCTTAAAGGAAAAGCTATACTTCCAAGTAAACCGCTTACTGTCGTTTATTCTCTGGTGAGAGCAGATCTGGGGTCCTGTCCTATTAGAATTAGAATGAGCTTCCCGGAGGACAGGAAAAAGCTAATAACAATAATAATAACAACAATACTTAAATATTATTTGGGTAGCTCTGCCCAACCATTCTCTTATTTCCTCTTCAACAACCTTACTAGGCAAACCAAATCTTGCCAGAAGTAACAAAGGACCGAAAGTGGCAGCAACGACAGACAAGCCTGCGACCTGACGGCTGTGCAAGGCTTTTTCAAACTCTGCAGGATAACGACAAACTCGCAGGCTGAGATGGAGACTGCGGCGCATTCCCGCGCCTCAGTTTACCTAGCAGGGCCAGGTTCCCTCAGGCCCCGCACCGCCGGGACTGTCCTTACCTGAAATCCAGGTATCCAGGGCCGCCTGAGGCGTGTCAGCGCTCGGGGAAGGCGTGGCTCAGCGCCCAGAGCGACTTCCGCAGCGGCGTGATGACGACAGAGCGACGGAGGGGCAGGGGCGCGTTGCCTGCCGACCCTGGGGGCTGACGGGTAAGGGGTGTGGCTTGCGCGGGGCTGAACTGTGACCGTAGAGGAGGCGTGGCGCCACGCACGAAGTTTCGCTTTTTAATAAAAAGCCTATTTCGTTCATTTCCTAACCGATAGAAATGGTGGGTCGCAAGCGTCCCGATCCCGAGCCTCCCTCAGAGCGGGGACTAGAGAGGACTTCCGGCTGCGGGAAGCCGCGCCGCTGCCTGGTTCTAGGGCGCAGGCGCAGAGGCTCAAGGCTGTTAGGTCGCCCGGAAGGCTTTCCGGAAGAAGATGGGCCGGTGATTGGTGAGAATGGTGACCGAGCTGTTCCTGATTAACCCCGCATTTTTTAAAATTAAAATTATTCACCTGATAACATAAAAACCGCACATGAATGAGATACGCCGTGCACAGCGTAAATCAGGGTAAACCCATCTTCCTCTTCCAGCTTGCTTCGTTTCTTCATGGAGGATCTGACAGTGACCTACCCTCCTATAATTCTCTAAGCATTTGCAGGTGGAAAGTCAGAACTTGGACAGATCCTACCAAAATGTCAAAGTAGAAACTGTCTTAGGGAGTTTTGAGGGGCCGGAGGGTGTCAGGTAGACAAGGACTAGGGAAGAGCGATTTGGGCAGAGGGACTTGCTTGTGCAAACTAGCGCCATGGAAATGGGAGACACGCCTGCAACCACACAAAAGTACCCTTCTCCCCGGGAGGGTACTCAGTGCCTCTCGTGAGAGGACTGTGGATTTATGTTCAAAGCAGCCGCAGCCTCAGGGCTGGAGCAGGCATCCCAACGGTTTTCATTTACATCTGTCCTCACCATGTACAGAGCAGTACACATTTAGGATGTTAAAACACACAACTTGTTTTGCCTTTTCACAGCAATGGTGACTACGATTTTTTTTTTATTTATGTATGTGAGTGTATTGCCTCTTTGCATGTAGATGTACCCATGTCATGCAATGATCACAGAGGTCAGAAGAGGGTGTCTGATCCCCTAGAACTGGAGTTATGGATGGTTGTTAGCCACCATGTAGGTGCTGGGAATTGAGCCCAGGTCCTCTGCAAAAGCAGCCAGTGCTCTTAACTGTTGAGCCATTTCTCCAACCGTGACTATGAATTCAAAAGTGGAAGAGAGTGAAGGAAAATTATCCCATTGCCTCCCACTGAAGATTAAACCCAGGGCCTTCCAAATCAAGCTTTCTACTTAGGGAGATACATCCCCAGCCCAGAAACTTCTGGAGGATGCTGCATCGATTGCAGAATTTAATACATCATGCAGGTAGAGCTTCAAGTGAAAATGATGTGGTTGGGCAAGTTTCAGGATCTTTCTACTGTACAGTCAGTGCTTGCTAGAAGACCAAAATAAGAGCACCTGCCCGGAGCACTTCTCCTGCTGTCCCTGTCTGTAAAGAAGCACAAAGGGTTTACAGTGCTCCACTACTAAATTCAGTTCCTGACTAGGACCTGCATCAGCTAGGTGACTTTGGGCAAGTTGCTTAATCTGAGTGTTTCCTACCCATAAATTGAGGTTAATAATTCCTAAATGCTGGTTTATAATGAAGATTGTAGGTGGTGCGTATAAAACTTGAGTGGGGCTGGAGAAATGACTCAGCTGGTAAAGGGCCTTGCTACCAAACATGACAGCCAGAGTCCTACCCCTGGGTCCCACATTGGTAGAAGGAGAGAACTGACTCCCTTAAGTTGTCCTCTGACCTCTGCAAGTGTGCTGTATGCCCCACTACTCACACACACAATATAATTTTAATTTTTTTTTTTTGGCCTTTTTGAGACCAGGTCTCACCGTAGCCCCAACTAGCCTGGCACTCACTATGTAGACCAGCCTGACCTCAGTCTCACAGAGATCTGCCTGCTTCTGCCTCCCAAGTACTGGGACTGAAGGTATGCGCCACCATGCCTGACATATAATTTAAACTTTTTAAATCTGGGATGTTCTTCGTAAACAGGTATAACACAGTTCATTCGATAGCATCATCTTCATTTTTATTATCTATCCTGGTGAAACATTTTGTGATTTTATAGTCTTGTCACAGTTAGAACCATTATGTATTTGACAACTCACAGCTGATTGTGGCCTTTTGACAGTGTGTTCAGGTTTCTGACAGGTACGCTCCTGTAAGTGAAGAGATTTGTCCTTTCCTCCTGTCCAACTTTTGGCAGATAACAGGCACTAGTAAAATGGAAATCAGTTTCTTTCAGTTTCAAAGCTTAACAGTAGTTCTTGACTCAGCTTTGATCTCCAACAGATCACTGCTACTGAGGTTTGGGGATTTTGGTGTTTCAGTTTTGATTTTTTTGGTTTGATTTGTTTGTTCGTTGAAACAGGGTATCCCTGTAGCCCCACCTTGCCTAGAACTCTATGTAGACCAGGCTGGCCTCTATCTCACAGAGATCCGCCTGCCTCTGCCTTCTGGGTACTGGGACTGAAGGCCTTCTTTTTTGTTTTTTGCATGCCTCCCAGTCTTCTGCCCATAATTCCTGGGGCAGGGGACAGAGGGAACAAAACTAGAAGGAAAGGAGTAAGACCGAGTTAAGAGGAAAAGGCAATAAAATCACCAGCATACATTGATTCCAAGAAGCTCTTTCCTCCCCTTGTCCCTAAACCAAAAAATGAATGAGGCCACCCCGAAGTATGTACCATGGTTTTGTGGAAAAGAAACCACTCTTACACAGGAAAAAAAAAAAAAGCATAGTCCACCCTATATGGGCAGGATTTAGGTGTTACATGCTCACATTCTGACCAGTCAGAATTATCATTTGAAATGACTGATCTTGAATACCAGGGGTTTAATGGGTAGCCCGGAGACTGGTCTCCAAGGCCTGGGCTCCCCACTTGAGGCTCCCACATGAACTTGGCAGCCAGGCCCAAACCAGGAGTAAGGGTCCAGTCGAATGGCTCTTCAAGACCCCTTTTAATCACCCTCTAGCCAGCTCATGCCTTGCTTTCATTAGAGATTCTGACAGTCATTTCTTGGCCCTAACAGCCCGAGGGAGGAAGAGATTTGCCCAAAGGTTACACCGGTGAATCCAAGGTCAAACTTATAGAGTTCCGAGTCCCAGTTCTAGCCTGTATTTGTGATGCAGCCTTTAAGAAAGGAACATTTTTTCTGACCTTGTCTCTTCATTGACAATCCCTACCTTTGGATGAAAACTGCTAACAGCCTTGAACATCTGCTCCTAAACCGACCCAGCGAAAGTATTCTGGAACTGAACTGGTCAGCTAAGTATAAAAGGAGTGTGCTAAAAGGCTCAGACCCCTTGAAATCATTGGCACAGGCAGAGAAAGGTTGAGGCTTCTGGGAGCAGTGCTGCAGCACTGCTCTAGGGCTGAGAAGACCTAGTGCATATGGCATTGTTGCCATTCCTACAGAGCTGTTTTGTGGATTTCCTTACCAGTCCTATCCTTGGGCCAAAATATGGCACCACATGCCTGGTTTGAACTTGGCAGGCTGACATCGGACCCTACCATTTTCTGCTATTCTAAATGGAAGAAGCTAGCACACACGCACACACACACACACACACACACACACACACACACGATTCAAAAGTAGGGCATTACCTGAATATTGGATGGTGTTTAGGCAACAAAACCCAATAACAAATATCCAATACACCCAATACTACCCACAACAAAGACACCATCAACATAGAACAGTGAGAAATTCCAGGTAATATAGACTTGTTACATCTCATTATTTTACACATTGAAATCAAAATCCAGATGCCAGGTGGCCCTTGATCGAGTGTTGGTTGCCTACCAGCATTCTCGCCTTTTCCCTTGGCATTGGAACTTCTTTGCTATAAGAAGTGGCTTGTGCCCAGGCAGGCTCCATCCAGTAGGACTGGGGGGTTATGACATGTTAGCAGAAGACATTGAATTTAGCTTCCAGAAACTCTTTAACAGTACCCTTTTAGGACTCCTGATTGCCCTGTCCCTCCTTTTCTCTTGCTTAGGACACAGGCATCTAGAGGACCAGGAACCATCGGGTGACAATGTAACCCTGATGTTGGAAGCTGTTATGGTTTGGATCTGAATTGTTTTCTGAAGGTTCACGTGTCTAGCTGACAGGGCCTTGGGAAAACGATTAGATCACCAAGGTTTAGGCTTCATCAATAGATTAATCCATTCATGGGTTCATAATTTCCTGGAATTGGGAGGTGATGGAAACTATAAGGTGGGGCAACTTGGAGGAGTTCCTTAGGGGCATAACTCTGAAAGGGGTATCCTGATTCCAGCCCATTCTGCTGTCTCTGCTTAAGGTAAGCAGCTTTCCTCTGCCACATCCTTCCACCAAGATGTTTCAGCTTTAACTCAGGGCTGTAGCAATGGAGCCAGCCAAGCATGAACTCAAACCTCTGAAACTGAACCAAAATAAACCTTCCCTCTTTCCATTGCTTTTCTTGGGTATTTCTGTCACAGCAGCAGCAACATCAACAGAAAGCCTAACACAGAAGCTGTAGGTCAAGAAGAGCAAAGCAGAACTACACAGAGTTCTGAGTACCTGACAACCTGCCCTGCTAGCCTGGATTCCACACTGTCCTTTCATGTGATGGAAAACACTTCTGAGTCATCAGACTCAGTGTATCTTACTGGCATGGAAGGTAGTCCCTGCAGGTACCAGCTGGTCTTGGTGGCTTCAGTCTTGCTTGTCTCCAATCAGTCCAAGATGTCATCATCCTCCGGTGCATAGGAAAAGCCCAGGAATGCACTTGAGGTCCCAGAACTGCTGGCCACAGTGTCAGGGGTGCAGCCAATAGACTTGGATACAGCTTCCTGTGTGAACTCTGGGTCAAAGTGTTTCAAATCAGCAGGTCCTTCCTGTCAGAAGTCAAGGATGAGAAGAGGGCACTGGGGTCAGAGCTGCCAAAGGACCCCCGAGCCTGGGAGAGCAATGTCAGGTCTTCCCCCTGAGTGCCTCATGGTCATTCATATTTAACACTGATAAGTCAGTTGGCCAATGTATTCTTCCCAAGTGCTTCCAGGTACTGTTGGTGACACTAGGGATGTGGGAGGACAAAGCAGAGCAAGCCTCAATTTTCAAAGACCCTACATTATGTAGGAGGAGGCAGGAAGGCCTGTAAGCGTGTACACAAGTACATTATTTAGAGCACTGGTGAGCCCTAGGTGATAGAGCAAAATGGGGTAAAATGATAGGGCGGCTGGGAATGCTGTGGCTAGTTCAGAGGAAGACCTAGATGGGAATCGAAGTGACCACAGGCCAGGCCTAGGAGCCTGCACCTTTAATCCCAGCCCTGGGGAGGCAGAGGCAGGTGGATCTCTGCCAGATTGAGGCCACCCTTGTTCATATTGTGACTTCCAGGTGGGCTGTAACTAGGGAGACCCTGTCAAACAACCAACAAAAAGAAAAAATGACCACAGATAAACTGAGAACAGTGATGCAAGTCTGTAATCCTAACACTTAGGAGGTGGGAGCAGGAGGATGAGAACTTCAAGATCATCCTCAGCTGCATAGTTAGTTCAAGGTTAGCAAGGAATACATAAGACACCCCACCACCTTTTAATTTTTTTCAGACTTTTTTGAGACAGGATCTTCCTATAGCCACAACGGGCCTGAAACTTGCTATGTAGACCAGACTGCAATCTTACAAAGATCTGCCTCCCAAGTGCTGGGATCAAAGGCGTGTGCCACCATGCCCGGCAGGATCCCACCTTTTTTTCTTAAAGCAGTGATAACAGATTGTCCATCTTCCATCCAGAAGTAGAATCTGTTTCTCTTTAATCTTTTTTTTTTTTTTTTTTTTTTGAGATAGGGTTTCCTTGTAGCCCCAGCTGTCCTGGATTCACCATGGAAACCAGGCTGGCCTTGAACTCATGGAGAGGCCTGCCTCTGCCTCCTGAGTGCTGGGATTAAAGGTGTGTGCTACCATGCCCGGCCTCTCCTTAATCTTCTTAATATGAGCTAACCATGTGACTTTCTTAGGCTGATTAGACATTTCTAAATATCCAAGCAAGGGCTTGAAAAATGCACTTTGGCGGTTGTCTGTTATGCAGTGGTAAATAATCTGAGGGCACTGTGTGCACAAGCTTAGAGGGGGTGGAGGTTAAGAGGTCTCAGGAAGAAAACGTCAGGTAATTCTAGAACATTAGCTATCTGCTTTCTTGCTGCTAACCATGGACCTGAGAGAGCTCCACACAGAACAGGTGGCCTGGCCCACACTGAAAAATCCACAGAATCCAAATAAATCACAAAATCCAAATAAAAGATTGTTGTTCAGGAGCTGGAGAGATGGCTCAGCAGTTAAGAGCCCTTACTGCTCTTGGAGAGGACCCAAGTTTGGTTCTCAGCATCTGGGAGTCTCTCACAAGTGCCTGTAACCCCAGCTGCAGCAAATCCAATGCCCTCTTCTCCTGTGCATGTACACACACACACACACACACACACACAATTTTTTTAAATCAAAAAATTTGCTGTTTTAAGCCTCCTACTTTAGGAGTAATTTGTTTGTTATACAACAGGAACTAACAAGTACTAGCCTTTCTGCAGAGGAAAAGATAATGCTCTGGGTTTTACGACATAAATAGGTGATCAAGTGGTAGAGGGCTGGGGAACCAAACAATCCATGGCTTTTAGCTTTTCAGAAAGGCCTTAGGGTGCAGTGGTCCCAGCCCAAGGCTCAGAGTTCCATGACCAGGCTATCTTGTGCTTAGCCTCGTTAGTTGCGTAACCTTAAAAACCAAGTATTTCCAGGTTTCACAAAGGAAAGATGTAGCATTAAAGAAACTCATTCAAGGTCTCCTAAGTCAGAGTGGCAGAACCAGGAACCCTCCCAGTGTATCTCAACATCCACCACATACTGCTACATTACACTGCATCCCTTCTCGGGATTTTGAGCAGATTCTCTCTTGTGAACCAAAGTTCCTGAAAAGAGCAATACTTTCCACTGAACTTTTTGCAAGGCTGATTGACTGATTAGGACTTCAGCGATTGGGGAAAGGTTAGACTGTTGCAGGTCAGTTTATCTTGAGCTACCTTTACCTCCCCTCTCCTCATACCTTAGTAGCCATTCCTTGCCCATTCTGTGTCTGACCTAACATCCTTATAACTAACAAACCTTTTGGAATGTACCAACAAACTACAGAAGGTTAAGAATGTCACCTGATAGCATCTGAGACTTATAGCTGTTTTCCCCACTTTACCAGCCGATCTAATGTTTCCACTAATGTATTTGAAAAGTGCTTTGATTTATGATTTTCCTTGTTCTGTTACTTTAAACACTTAATCCAATTGTTACCAGGTTGGAACATGGAATTTGAGGTAACCTAACTCTGTTTCCAGTTACGGTCACTCATAACTGGCTATAGAAAAAAACCATCTCTCATTCCCTTTGAGGTGAGAGTTACATATTGACACTCTCCATATTTTAACACTACTATCTTTACTGTCTTTTTAAAGCCCAAGTAAAAAAGAACTGGGTTGTAGCTTGAGTGCTAGAGCACTGCTTAGCATGTATGAGGCTGTCAGTTCCATCCCCAACACCACAAAAAAATAGAATCCCAAGAAGAAACATTTTGGGCTCCTGGACTGCATGTACCCTATCTGGCCATTGTCACCAAGAATCTGATGTTTGAACCTGGTCCCAAGTGAGCAGCGGTTTCAGCTGGCTAACAGCCTTGTGTGAACCCTTGAACCTTCAGTCTTTCTTTGAGTCAAGTGAGTGATAAGCTAAACTTGTCAGAAGTGGAGAAGTTTGACAAATCAGAATTGAAGAAAACTCATAAGAAGAAAAAAGGAGCAAAAACAACAAAACTTCCATCAAATGAAACTATCCAGCAGAAAAAAAGAGTGTTCAAACATTATAAAATGAAGATTTCTTTCAAGGGCAAAATTCAAAATTGCCTGAGACTCTTGATTTTAGGCTTGTTTTTGTTTTGTTTTTAAAATTTTATTTATTTTTATTTTATGTGTATGCGTGTGTTGCCTGCATGTAGGTAAGTGCACCCGTGTCATGCAATGCCCGCGGAGGTCAGAAGAGGCTGTCAGATCCCCTGGGACTGGACTTACACACAGTTTTTAGCTGCCATGTGGGTGCTGGGATTCGAACCCGGGTCTTCTGCAAAAACAACCAGTGTTCTTAACTGCTGAGCCATCTCTTCAGCCCCTTAGGCTTGTTTTTTTTTTAACCTGTGCATTTGTGATTACTGATGGCTCCTACCTACACAGCCTGGCTAAGAGGTCAGCAGTAGCCAGTGTTACTTAAATTTATTTTTAAACTTACCACTTGTGTGTAAAACCCACCGTCAGTCATCTCACCATTGATGGCCTTGAAGCAGGCAGTCCCTGCACCTGCTGCAAAGCAAGCAAACTTCAGCCTAGTGAGTGCCTCCATTGCTTCATTATCTTTAGGAAAGTGCACACTTCTGCAGTTCTTCAGAGTCACTCATTTCTAATGTGGCATTAAATATAAACACACACACATACACACAAGAATCTGGTGCTAGCTGGCCATAGTAGCTCTCTCTTGTAAACTCGGGAAGCTGAAGCAGGTGGATCACCATGAGTTGGAGACCAGCCAGGGCTACATGGTGAAACAGTGAGTTTCAGAATATCCTGGACTACAGAATGAGTGCCATCTCAGAAAGAAAAAAGAATCCAGTGGGAAAGACACATGCATAGGTCATTCTCCAGTGGGGGAAAGTGAGGCATGAATGAACTCTGGGTGTTCCGAGGTGGAAGGAAGCCTGCCACCAGTGGCTTCCCTTGAGGGCTGAGAGGCCAAGCCACTTCCCCTCCGCTGCTTTCAACTTTTCCATTTTACATGCTTTTCACAAGAAACTTCTATCTTTATCAGGAAAAGTTCTAAAAATATGTCTACTGAGCATGGTTCTGCTCAGGTAAACCACATGACACAAAACACTTTAAAAACTGTAAGAGCAAGCTGGGTGTGGTGGGCATGCCTTTAATCCCAGCACATGGGAGGCAGAGGCAGGCAGATCTCTGTGAGTTCAAAGCCAGCCTGGTCTATATAATGAGTTACAGACCAGCTGGGGATACAGGGAGACCCTGTCTCAAAAAGAAAAAACTGTAGGAGTACTGGGTGAGGTGACCCATGCCTGTAATCCCAGCATCCAGGAGGCTGCATGGAGAGTCTTGAGTTCAAGGCCAGACTGGGCTATATAGAAAGGTCATGTCTCAAAAGCAACTGTAGTGGCTCTGATGCACAGGAGAGGGGTGGTGACAACTTGTGGGGCTAGAGAGGAAGGAGCCACCACCCCCTAAGACTGAGCTAGCAGTCAGGACCTAGGATGGCCAGGACTAGTTCTTATTCTTGTAGCCTTAGATGAATCCTTGAGACTCTTGTACCCTTAGCTTCCCTACCTGTATGAACAGAGTTGTCCATCCCTCCAATCTCCCACCAGCCCTGGGAATCCAAAAGCCCAAATCTAGAAAGAACCCTGTGACTTCTTACCACGTTTGGGTTGAAGGGTGGAGTCAGCCTCTTGTGGTACAGGTCATCCCAGTTTATGGGACTGAAGAACATGTGGTTCTTTATCTCAAGCTGCAGGAAGAAGATCCTGGTCAGAAGCAGCCCTCCCCATGGCTGCTCCATCAACTGTCCAAGCCTTTGCAGTTCTGGCTGGTTTTCGGAAACCAGAAAGCACTGTGCTACCAGATTTCTTACTTCCCATGTCATCTGAACCCAAACCCTTCCCATAACACAGGTACCTTCTACAGCTGCATCTCAAGAACCCACACTGTGTCAGGTTATGGAGACATGCCTGTAAGCAGGACCACAGAACTAGTTATGGAGAGAGAAGGAATATGGGGGTTTGGTGACACAGTCCCTAACATATCTGGACATCCAGAGTCTTCCACAATGTAATCCAGAGAAGCAATAAACTCACCAAGGAAGCTATGAGAAATAAAGTCTCAAGGAAAGCTGCAGCTTTTCAAAGACCAGCAGTGAAGTGTGGGCCCTGGGCACTTTCTTAATGGAAATCCACCTTGATACCTACTTCCTCCCCTCCCAGCAGGAGCATCCCTCTGTTTCTCACTGAACAATTCTCCAGCTCCTTGCATCAGAGCTGCCCTCTGGGTTATTCAAGAGACTCCCGGGTGCTCTTTTGTGCCCTTAGATTAGATTTCTCTGAATACATCATCTCAAAAGTCGTGGGCTTGTTTTAAGATTCAGACTTGTTTGAAAAGGCAGGATGTGCTCTGTCTTCTCTGCCCTCCTGCCTTGGCCCCCTCACCTGAAAAAGTATGCCTGCTCCATCTCTACCCACTCCTTGGTGCAGAGCACCTCTCAGCTAGAGTCAACCTCTATCTGCAAAGGTGTCTGCAACCAGGGACATTGGCAGATGAGAGCCTCAGCAGCTTGGCAGTCCCACGTCCTGACCTCACTCATCCCTAGCTGTAGCTTCCAAACCAGAGTCATTTCCAGAGACATCAATACAGCAGCCAGGTTCATTGGGGCTGGGGCTGCCACCACTGGGGTGGCTGGCTCTGGGGCTAGGATTGGGACTGTGTTTGGGAGCCTTGTCATTGGTTATGCCAGGAACCCATCTCTGCAGCAACAGCTCTTCTATGCAATTCTGGGCTGTGCCCTCTTGGAGGCCGTGGGACTCTTTTCCCTGATGGTGGCCTTTCTCATCCTCTTCCCCAAGTGAAACAGCTGTCTCCACCTCCCATAGTTCTTTCTCCCATGTCTCATCTGCCCTGTATGTTCTTTTTCCAGTACCTCCCCAGGAAGTCCAGGGAAAGTAGTTGGCTTGGGGTTTGACAGAGGGAAGATAAATGAATACTGTATTAAAAGGGAAAAAAATAAGGGCAGGATGTGTCTTCACAGAAACCTGTATGTTTATTTATTTATTTATTTATTTATTTATTTATTTATTTGTCTTTTTGAGACAGGGTCTCCCTGTAGCCCCAGCTGGCCTGGAACTCACTATATAGACCAAGCTGGGCTTGAACTCACAGAAATTAGCCTGCCTCTGCCTCCTGAGTGGTAGGACTAAAGGCATGGGCCACCACACCCAGCTAGAAGCCTGTATCTTCAATCTAGCTGAGTGGTAAGTAAACAAATGCCTCAGCTCTGTCACACTTCACAGTATCTGGCGTAGAGGGCTTTTAGCATCATGCTTACAAACCGTTGCTTTATGCCTCACAGGGGTCTAAATGCTGTGCTATCCACAGGAAGGGGGAAGCAGTCCTGGAACTGAGGGCCATCTGGACTACAGCCTTACTTTTGTAAATCCAAATGATTATTTCACAGTGTCTCCCTATGTAGCCCCGGCAGACCTACAACTCTCTTTGTTGACCAGGCTGGCCTTGAACTCAAGGAGATCCAACTGCTTCTGCCTCCTGAGTTCTGGGATCAAAGGGTGTGTGCACCAAACCTAACCCAATCTTTATATTTAGTGTGTGTGTGTGTGTGTGTGTGTGTGTGTGTGTGTGTGTACTTGCACACACACAAATATACGCACACAGATACACACACACTTGCCATGGTACACACATGGAGGTCAGAGGACAACTTTCAGGAGGAAGTCGGCACTGTCCTTCCACCATATGGGGCTTGAGGATGGAACTCAGGCTGTCAGGTTTGGCAGCGGTCACCTTTACCAGCTGAGCCATCCCACCAGCCCATGCTGGGGAACAGACTGAGTTCTATGAATTACTTATCTCTGTATCTGAATGCATAACTTAACCATGTCTAGCCAGGTGTCTGGCAAGGTGAATTGCTCAGATATTTGTGAAAAGCAAGTCCTAGCCACTCTGCACAGAAGCCAGAGGAAACTTCTAAAAACTTAGATCACACCACTCCTCTAACACACACTCTTCCTGCCATTCTCCTCCATGTTCACCACAGGACATTTGCACATGCTGTGTCCTATGTTTGGGGAGGCTTCACCCAGTTCCTTGCATAGCCTCTTTCAAGTTCACCTTGTCACCTCTGAGAGACCTTGCCTGGCCATGCCAGTGTGAAACAGCCCCCTTACAACAAGACTCTTACTATCTTTGTCTGCTTGTCCTTCATTTCCTTCCTGACTTTTGTTACACTTGGTGATAATTGTACAGAATGCTTGTTTGTTTGAGAAAGGGTCTCCTCATAGCCCCAGCTGGCCTGTAACCCACCACGTAGATCAATCTGACCTCAAACTCACAGAGATCTGCCCATCTCACCTCCCAAGTGTTGGGATTAAAGGTGTGCGCTACCACGCTGAGCTTCCGAATCTTTGGTTTTTGTCAGCTCTTCTTACCCCCTGAGCTTAATGAGGGCAGAGACTAGGTTTTTAAACCTGTAGCACCTAACTCAGTGCTGGCACATAGTAGGCACTCAGCAAATACTGGTTGGCTAAAAGAACTGTTTTGTAGAAACTAGTCAGAAGCTGAGGAGACGACTCAGTTGGTAAAGTGCTTGCTGGGCAAACATGAGGACCTGTGTTTGAATCACCAGCACCTTTGTAAAAGCCAAGCACAGAGGCAAATGTCTGTAATCCCAGCACTGGGGAGGCAGAGACGGGAATTCCCCAGGGCTCACCACCATAAACTGGACAGAGATTGAGGAAGGCACCTGATATCAACCTCTGGCCTCCACAAACCTGCACACATATGCTTGTGCACCTGCATGTACATGTGCACACAACCAGTATATACACATACACAACCACACATAGAAAAAGAAAGAAGGGAAGAAAGAAAAAAAAAAGAAAACAAAAGAGGAAATTGTTCCAGATGAATGCACTAGCAGCTCCTGGCCTTAGAGGGCAGCAGAAGGCAGGGCAACTTGAGGTGCTAATGAGCTGCCTCTGTGGAAAGTTGAGAGGCTCACAAGGGGCCAGTGCTCTGCTGCGGGTCACCTACAAAGTCTTCCTTGGAGCCCAGTCGCTGCCTCTGGTCCTTGTGGAGAAGGCCTTGCAGAAGGTCACAGGCGGCTACTGTCCGGCCTCCGGGGATCTGCAGCGGTTGGTGCAAGATGTTCTCATACATCTGGGCCACATCTTGACTGAAGAAGGGAGGCTAGAAAAGGGGGAGAAGCTGTGGAATCAGCCATGAGACCATGGAGAGGGGCCAGTCTCAGGGAGCTGGAGCAAGTTGGGTAGCCTGGAGGATTGGCCAGGCTCACATCTAGTGCAATGGCTCTAGGGGCAGATGGGGAGAGACAGGACCTCCAGGCTTCTGGCACAGGTGAAAGGGTTGCAAGTAAAGCCACAGGCTCTGATCATCCGTGGGAGGCTCCTGTATGTCCCCAGGCATTGCTTGTCCCAGCTTGTAAACCAAGTTTTCCACTTTGGCCATCATTCCATCCAGGCCTCATAGTCATCCTCTGAGCATGGATGCCAAAAGCAGATGAGAAGACAGGCTTGGGCCATTCAAACACAGTAAGGAAGAGAGCCAGGCTCTAAACCGTATCCAGGGTCTACCCCTCCTTGGTACTCTTCTTCCTGTTCTACCCACCAGTCCTTCCCACCCCATAGAGCCTGCTTCTTCCACAGCACTGTGCAGTGCTGGAGAAGCCAGCCCAGAGGGAAGCCTGCCTCAGGCAGGGTCATGCAGGACTCCACCTAAGCAGACAGCCTGGATAGCTCCCAACCTACCAACACTGTGACCTCTTGGCCTCAGCTCCCTGTTAGTACAATAAAAGCAACTCTATACTCTGCAAAGTAAGATGTTGCAGTGTGTTATAAATTGGAAAGTGCTAAAAATAACATTATTCAAAAGAAAGAGACACGTTCTTTGTGTTCACTTTGGCCTCATCTCTTCCCAGGGCTAGAGAGAGAGCTCATTTAGCTCCCTGTGCAGAGCTAGAGTAAGCCACATAAAAGGGAGTGCATCCTTGGCTCTCCTAAGCACATGTCCCCTGTAGGTATCTCTGCCCACTCACCAGGCCATGCAGCATCTCGTAGAGGACTGCCCCTAAGCACCACCAGTCCACTGCCCGATCGTAAGGCTCTTTACGAAGCACTTCAGGAGCCAAGTACTGTTGGGGAAACACAGTTATTTGGAGACCCCCTAGCCTCAGTGTCTACATCTGTAAACAAGGCACTCAGAGGAAAAGATGGGCAGGGATTGATGCTGCTGCCCTAGTCTCATAGCTGTGCATGGGTTAATCAGCATCCTTCACCAGAGTCCTGGTTGGCGCAATGTGCTGAGGACATACAGGACTGCCCTGTACAGTTGCACTTCTGCATCACACAAGTATACCAGTCAGAGGGGTAAAGGAGCTGCAAGCAGGCGGGTAAAAGGAGCTGTGATTGACTCACCAAGCCAGAACCGTAGTTCAGAAGTACATCTGGTAACTTAAAAAACTTACTTATTTTTATTTTATGTATATGAGTGTTTTGCCTGCATGTATGTAAGTGCACCCATGCTTGCAATGCCTGTGGAGGCCAGAAGAGGGCGCCCTATATCCTGGAGCTGTAGTTATGGACATTCATTAGCGACCATGTGGGTGCTGAGAACTGAACTCGGGTCCTCTCAAGAGCAGCCAGTGCTCTTAAGTGCTGAGCCATCCCTCAAGCCCCTGGTAATTGTCTTTGCTTAAAAGGCCACTTTCAGAACCTGTCTTCTAATTTGTACAAAGCCATCTATGGGCTGAGTCCTAGGACTGCAAAAGCCCAGGGAGCACCTCACAATGCAGCGAGGGGAAGGGGTGAAGCTGAAAAACTGGTACACACTTGTTCTGGGGGCCTTAGTGCCAGGGAGAAACCAGGAGAGGGTGACACCTTACGTCATCTTGATGATGGAAGCAGGCCGTGAAGCCTTGCCTGGTTAGTACCAGGAGAGAAGCTGAAGCAGAGCTGAATTTCTCCCAGTTCTAAGGGCTTGGTGACCTCAGCCTGAGGTTCTCTGTGGCTGATGAATGTGGTCCCAGCAACAGGTAGAGCTGCCCTGAGGGACTGTGCAGGTCTTCAGAAGGGTAAAGAATCTTTGGTATGTGGGGTCTAGGTAGAGCACTTAACCTCTCAGAGCCTTGGTTTCCTTATCCATTGAATGGAGACATGATGAGGTGATGGCTGGGGAGATGACTCAGCTGGTAAAGTGCTTGCTGTAAAAGCAAGAGGACCTGAGTTTGGGTCCTCAGCAGCCATGTAAAAGCTCAGTAAGTTGGCTCACACATTACCCCTGTGATAATGAGGTTTGGTGGGGGAGGAGACAAGCAGATCCCTGGATCACTGGCCAGCCGAACCAAATCAATGAGCTTCAGGTTCAGTGAGAGACCCAGTTTCAAAGGTGGAGAGTCAAGCATGGTGGCCCATACCTTTAATCCCAGCACTCAGGAGGCAAAGGCAGGTGGATCTCTGTGAGTTTGAGGCCAGTCTGGTCTACAGAGTGAGTTCCAAGCCAGCCAGTGCTTTGTAATGAGACCCCGTCTAAATCAAAACAAAACAAAACAAGGTGGAGAGTTATTGTGGAAGACACCCAACACTGACCTCTGGCCTCCACATGTGCATACTCATATGAACAGGGACAAGTACCACACAGATACACACACAAAAGTAGGACGTAGCTAGGCATGGTGGCATATGTCTTTAATTCCAGCATTTTGGAGTCAGAGACAGGCAGCTCTCTGAGTTGAGGCCAACCTGGTCTACATATCAAGTTCCAGGTCAGCCAGGATTATATAGTGAGACCCTGCTCTCTGCCTCACCCCCAAATGGGGACATGGAGTCCTTCCTGGGTTGTTGAAGGATATGGGAACAAATATAGGTACTCCTGTCTGTGTGCCTGGCACCTCAACAGTGGCAGTCATAGAAGAAGGGATATTTTCTACAGGAGCCATGATTCCATATCCATTGCTTCCCACCACTAGCTGCACCCAAGGAAAGACTGACTCAGGCCAGCTTTATCCACTAGAGACCCAATGCACAAATAGACAATAACCCCTGACCAGAGAAGTCACCTGACCATCAGCTAACTGATACACTAGCTGGAGGAACCTATCTAAGGGTCCAGGCAGAGCTTTGCAGGCTGATGGAGAAAACAGGGTGGCTCAAGTTCTGCCATAGGCCAGATGGAGAGGACCAACCCCACTCTGCAGCCTCAGCCCTCTGCCCACATCTGGTGTCTGTCCAAGCCACAGGGGTTCCCTTCAAGTCCAAGGTCCAAGACTAGTGGGAGTTCAAGGAAAGATCTTAAACCCGGAGCCTTGGCAGGTCAGACAGACACATGAATTCCTGCTGAGACATGCAACATTTCATTTATTTTTATTGTGGTACTGGGGATTGAACTGGGGTCTCATGCATGCTAGGCAAACACTCTACCACTAATCTACATACCCAGGCCTAATTATTATAATTATTATTTTGAGTCAGGGTCTCACAATCCTCCTGCCTCATCCTTCTGAAAGCTAGGATTACTGAGTTCTACAAATTTTATCCTTCCAGGTTCTCAAGTCTGAAAGAGCATGGTAGACCTATATTTAACACTTCTAAACTGTGATCTTAATTCCTAGGCCAGGCCTTCCTGGTGCAAATGAACTTGGCCCCATGGAGTGCCATCAACACAATAGCCATAAGTGGCTATTAAACACATGAAATATTAATCCCAACCAAGATGGGCTATAAATGTAAATTACATTTACATGCTAAATTATAAGAATAAGAAAAAATCATTAGCTAGTTCAGTAATTTTTCTACTGGCCATATATTAAATGAGAATATTTGAGGTATATTGAGTTAAATAAAATGTATTGTTAAAATTAATTTCATTTGTTCTTTTTACTTTGTGTGTGTGTGTGTGTGTGTGTGTGTGTGTGTGTGGTGCTGGGGATTAGACCCAGGGCCCTGTATACATTAGACTAGTGCTCTACACTCCTAGCCCTGTCTTTTTACTTTTTCTTTTTGGTCTTTTTGAGACAGGGTCTCCCTGTAGCCCCAGCTGTCCTGAAACTTACTGTGTAGACCAGGCTGGCCTTGAACTCACAGAGATCCGCCTGCCTCTGCCTCCCGAGTGCTGGGATTAAAGGCGTGCGCCACCGCGCCCGGCCCGTCTTTTTGCTTATTTTTTTGTTCTTTTTTTTTGGACAGGGTCTTCCAGGAGCTCCAGCTGGCCTTGGACTCACTATGTAGACCAGGCTGGCCTTGAACTCACAAAGATCTGCCTGCCTCTGCCTCCCGAGTGCTGGGACTAAAGGCGTGTGCCACCATGCCCAGCTTGTCTTTTTACTTTTTAAATGTAGGTGTGAGAATTTTTAAATGGTGCATATGGATTTGTATATGTCTGTTTATTTTTGTTTGTAAGGTTCCTTGTTTGAGACACAGTTTCTTTGTAGCACCAGCTGGTCTGGTACTTGCTGTATAGACCAGACTGGCCTCAATCTCACAGAGATCTACCTTTGGAGTACTGGGATTAAAACACAAGCCACCATGCCTAGTTTTTGTTTTTTGAAACAGTCTTATATAGCCCTGGCTGACCTGGAACCTGCCATATAGGCCGGCCTCAAACTCTTAGTTCTTTTTGTTCCCACCTTCTAAGCATAGGATTACAGGCATGTCCCACAATGTCCAGCTATAATTTACCTTTCATTGGGCAGCACTACTGCAGAATTCTCCAGAGCTAACTGAATCCCAGCCACCCCAAGAGCTGGTTCCCCAGTACTCATGAGGAAACAAAGGCTCAGCCCACAGCTGGCTCAGGAAAGAACTTGGATGGATACAGCAAGGCCCCTCAACTGTAACCTGGTGACACTATGCAGGGGCAGTGTCCTGGGATAATCATGGCCTGCCTTCTCTATGGGTTTTCCACTTACCTCTGGGGTACCACAGAATGTGGATGTGGTCTCCTCCGGCTCTACACCTTCCTTGCAAAGGCCAAAATCTGTCAGCACCACATGTCCCTGTGGGTGAGAGGCAGCAGGAACAGGATGGTGATCACACTGAAAGTACTGGATATAGGGTCTGGTGAACATACACAAGATGCAGGCACCACACAGACACAGAGCTCCTGGCCTGGATGCTAGGAGACCTCAGGGCATAGGTTGGGGACAGGGCATTCCACTGTGTTCCATAGCTCATCATGACTCGGGCTCATGCCTACAACAATGGCAGCTCCAGGATGTCCTTGCTGGGTAACAATCCCTTTGATGGAGGGCTGGAGACTCAGAAAGCAAGCGCACCTGTGGCAGCTGGGATTTGGATGAAGAGGGTGGATAGATACTGAAGGGGTCTAATCAGACTCTCTGAGGAAGCTGCCATGTCCATCCCTCATTGCTGGCACAGTGCCCTGGCTCAAAGTTAAACCCTTTCCCTGGGGCAATTCACATCTAGTGACTGATCAGTGCAGGGTCATGGAGGCCCAAACTCCTGACCTCAATTTGGGACCATCCTGAAGAGCTATCCCAGCTCATCACCCCACCCCCGTGAGATCAACTGAGGCTTCACTTGCAACCACAGTGCAGTTGAGTCTCTTCCTCCACCCAGCTCTGTGTTCTTCATTCCTCTTAAAGTATCTCTTGAAAGTGCTCACCCACAAACCTGCATTTAGCTCTGCATCTCAGAGTCTGCCTCTAGGGAATCTGGAGACATGGAAGGCCTACAGATCCACTAGCTTCCACCATGCCCCACTCCTGCCCCACACAGGCCTACATACTCACATCTGCATAGACATCTGCACACTCATGTAGTCTCCTGTGCATGTGCTTGTATATACATATGCATGAGTACACATGTACACATATAAGACAGTATCTGCTACCATATGCATACATGTGCAATGCGTAAATACAATGTGCACAGACCCATGATTAGAGAGCACGCCTGTGAGCTACACACACACACACACACACACACACGCACACACACTTGCACACATACCTGGCAGTCTAAGAGAATATTCTCAGGCTTCAGGTCCCTTCAGAAAATAAGAGAAAACAGCCATTTACTGAGAAGGTGGGGGACTCGGGTCCTGGTAGGAGACCTACTCATGGAAGCTCCCACAGATGCAGAGGGAAATTCCAGGGAGGTTGGAAAGGAGGACACCCCAACTCTCCTCCAGATGGGAGTCCCCCCTCAACCAAAGGACCAAATTCTGTGGGATTTCATGGTTCACTTAATCCCTGCCTGTGGAGCAAGAAGTGCCTGGGCCTGGCTCTGAGCCACAAGCAGGTCTCACCTGTAAATGATGTTGAGAGAATGGAGGTAGCCGATGGCACTGGCCACCTCAGCAGCATAGAAGCGAGCCCTGGGCTCCAGGAACCTGTGTTCCCGCTGCAGGTGGAAGAAGAGCTAAGAGAGAGAACAGTGGGAGGTGGTTGGACTCCAGCTTCTAGAACACAGAACAGGGGCCCACAGGACCCTCAACTCTGTGCAGGAGCAAGTCACCCCATCCAACTGCTTTGTGCTTGGACCAAAATAGTGCATGTTGACCCCACCCCTCGGGGCAGTTGTGTTATCCATTCAATCAAAAGGAGCTATTAATCAGTATTAATTAAGCACTTACTGTGTTCCAGACTGCACATCAGGCCCTTTCACACCCTTACTTAATCCTCATAACCATCTCAAGCATGATGCCAGTTTCATGACAAAGGAAACTGGGAGGAGGAGGTCAGTGATTTGTCCATGGTCTCATAGCTCGGAGTTGGCAGAGCTGGGATTTAAAACTGGGTAGTTCAAGATACCTGCTTTTTTTGGAGGGGGAGGGGGCACATAGGCTCTTCCTGAAAACCCAGACTGGCCTTGAACTCACAATCCTCCTGCCTCCATATCCTGAGTGTTGGGATTACAGGTGTGTGCCACCATGTCCAGCAAAATGTGTTTTACCTCCAACCTAAGCAATGGGACAATGGTGACTGTCACACGGAACCCAGGTTAGATCCCCTGTGAGCTGATGGCCTGGTCTGCTTTGTTGGTTACAAAGCCCTCCACTTAGGGACATGCAGGACAAAAATTCCCCAGTCAGTCTCAGACTGAAAGGCATTTGGTTACAGGTCAAATTTACATTTTGCGACCTTTCTCAGGGAGACAGAGCAAAGCCCAAGAAGGAGCCCAACTTGTCCCTGGCAGGGTCAGCAGGTAGTTCAGGTCTTCATTTTTGTGATAGTGCCAGGTTATCCCTAACCTGAAGCCTGTGGTGGGAAACGGTGACCGTGCAGCTTCCAAGCATTATGTCGGGAGCGAAATAGCCCTGGTATGCACTGCGTGGCTTTGAGAAACGATTTACTACCCTGAGCTCCAGCGTCTTCAGCTACCAAATGAGTGTGTCGTAGGGATACAGTGAGATCACTCCAGAACCGGGCACACAGTGGGCACTCGAGACGGAGTGCTCCCTGCAGTAGCTGCGCGTGGGAACCTCATCACAGCCCACTCACCTCTCCCCCGTTGACATAGTCGAGCACAAAGTAGAGCTTCTCTGGGGTCTGGAAGGAGTAGCGCAGGCCCACGAGGAAGGGGTGGCGTACATTCTTCAGCAGAACGTTGCGCTCTGCCATGATGTGGTTCTGCTGTGGAGTTGCACAGACAGGATCCGCGTCACAGCCCCGCACGGCCCTTTCATCCAAGCATAACCCAGGTGAGCTCGCTGGGTACATGGGCTTGTCCAAGATTTTCTTGTGCCATAGTTGAAATGCTCACATTGGCTCCCTGCTGCCCTCCAAGCCAGGCCCTGTTTCCTGCCTAGTCCTCAGGAGTCAGTGTGCTGAGACTCACCCCCAGCCACTTCCTGTCAGTGTCGCCTCAAAGATTCTGCCCCAGGACGACAAGCAAGCATATAGGATGACAAGATGATCCAGTCCTGAGGGAAATCTCTAGGGGGAAAAAAAGCCATGCAGGGGCCTGGAGAAATGGCTCAGTGACTAAGAGCACTGACTGCTACTGCACAGGACCTAACAACCATCTGTAACTAACAACCATCTGTAACTCCAGTTTCAGGAGTTACAACACCCTCTTCTGGCCTCTGTGGGCACTGCATGCATGTGATGCATATACATACATGCAGGCAAAACACGTTTTTTTTTTGACAGGGTCTCCCTTGTCCCTGCCCACCTGGAAGTCACTATGTGGATCAGGATGGCCTCGATCTCATGGAGATCCACCTGCCTCTGCCCCTTAAGGACTTTAATCCCTTAAGGATTAAAGCTGTGCACTACTACACCTGTCATACTTACACACATTTTTAAAAAACCATTTGGTGTTCATACTATGCCTTTGGCCATGCTCCTTAACCACCTGGACGTCCCATCTTCTTTTCATGTGCGTATATATGTTTGTGTATGTATGCATATGCGTGTGCAGGTGCATATGTATATGGAGGCCAGAGGTCGACATTGGGTGTCTTCCTCAGTTGCTCTCCAGCTTATTCTTTGAGACAGGGTCTTTCACTGAACCTGGAGCTCACCAATTCAGCTAGACTGGTTAGCCAGCAAGCCCTAAGGATTCTTTCTCTTCCCCTCCCCAGCACTGAGATTACAGATGTATGCTGCTGTGCCTGGACTTTTAATGTGGGTTCTAGAGGATGAAACTCAGATCCTCATACTTGTAAGCAGGCACTTCACTGACTGGACCATCTCCTTAGCCCTTGGACATCCCACCTTCTTTTCAGGCCATCAGAATGCTATTTACTCCCAAAGCCAGCTCAAGACCACCTATGCAGGAAGCCCTCCCTTTAGCATGAATCACTGTCTCCTGAGTTTCTTGACTTGAAATTCTCTGTCTTTCTAACAGTGTTGAAGGGAATCAAGTCAGCTGAAGCATCTAGAGATCCAGGCTGCCCATGGCTGGAGGGGCCTTTGGAGAGGGTATGGTGTGAGCCCACAGTGTACACGTGGGGAGCCCGACATCTAGAGAGCTGGTCTATCATGGATCCTGTGTTACCCACAGGAAGGCGGAAGCTTGCTTGTCCTCCAGAAGGCTTCCTAGTGAGGTGACTTGGCCTGACTTCCTTGAGAAAGGTCAGGGTCCTGTGCACCAGCTGGATTTCCTGTGCAATCCCCACTCAACAGAGTCCCATGGTGGATGGTCTTGGGAAGAGACTTGAGGCTGGAGATCAAGAAGCAGGAGGGGAAATGGCTGTGCCTGAGCTCTGGTACCTCTTTGTTCTTTAAGATGGACTTTTTCTGCAGCACCTTCACTGCATAGAACGCCCCATCAGACTTGTGCTTGGCCAGTAAGACCTGAGGAGAAGCATAGACACAGGGCCCTAGGGATGACTTCATTTCCCAGATGGCAAGCGAGGCCTCCAGCCTTGCCTCCATGCTAAGTTTGCAGGTATGGGAGACTTCTGTTTGCACATGTTAACTGCAGACAGCAGGTAAGAGGGGGGTCAAGAGGGGTAGGACCCAAGTCTCCAACTCTTCTTCCTCACCTTCCCATAGTTTCCTTTGCCAATGACTTTGAGGAAATCGAAGTCTGTAGGCCGGGCACTGTGGACAAGGGAGGATCAAGGATCAGCATTTGGAAGTTCAGGAAATCTGGGTGCTAAGAGCAAGCCAGGTCTCTGGTTAACATTAGAGCTGGAAAATACAAGCTGCCTTCTAGGCACCTTTCCCCTAAATAGCATCCCATCTTCCAGCCCAGAGAGGCTTAGAAGACTCAGCCTTTCCCCCTTCTCCCTGCCCCAGAGCTCACAGACCCGTTAATACCAGAGGCAATGAGGAGAGACAAGCAGGTACAGGGTACAGAGGGAAGAGTCTGTCCCATCTACCACCCCCAGCTCTGAGAAGGGCCTGAGAGTGGGGAATTACTGACAATGTAGATGTTGGGGGGGGCATGCCAGGCAGAAGGCTCAGCCTGAGCCAAGGCTGAGGAGTTAAAGAGAGACGCGGCCGAGCAGAGAGGAGGGGTGGGGATTTTGGCCCAGATGGCAAAGGTCTTGAGCACTAGACCAGAGATCTTGGATTTTAATTGCTAAAGCAAAGAGAGTCAGCCAGGTAGAAATGTTGTCTTGGAGACCAGAACTCACTTTGGGTTGGCTGATGGCCCCAGGTTGATATTCCCATTGGTTCTAGATGGCTAAAGGCATTTAAAGAGAGGTGAGTAAGATCAGCAAGTCCTTCCCTTCCTTTGGCCTAGGCCCTGATCTTGACAGCATTTCTACTGGCTTGCCTTCCTCTTTACCTTCCTGTTTTGGTTTCTTTACACTGTCTAGCCCCCTACGCCCCCCCCCATCAACCATCTACCCACTCTCCTTCTCACTTGCTTCTCCTAAAAACCTTGAGAGGTTGTCATGTTTTATACAGGAAGAAAACTGAAGCAAGAGAGGAGTTATCCAGGGCCTTATAGGCAACTAGGTTGGGATTTGAATCCATATCTTTTCATAACCAATTCCATAATTTTCCTAACCAAGTCTACTTCTTGTAGCTCTTACCAAATATCTCCTCAATTTGCCCTCTAAATGGCACACTTCTGTGAACTCACAGTAACCTGGTGGCTCCCAATCCTGGTCTAAAGCTCATGGTGCTGACCAGTAGCTCTACATATTTCCTCAGCCTTGAGAAAAAGTGAATCCTTGGTGCTGAGTGCTGGATGGGAGACCAAGAGTCACTCACCTGTGGGCTAGGGACACCAACTGGATTGGAGGCCATTCTGCAGCTATGATCAGGTGGTCTCTGGGGGTACAGGGAAGGCCAGGCATGAGGGAGCATGGCCTCCAGACATGGCACCCTGTTTCCCACCTTGAACCTCTGCCACAACCTTAATAGTTCCCACCCTAGAGGTCAACTGCACCTGAATGGATGGGATAAGAAGTGACATCTGTCTAACCCAGCCTTTCTTACCAAACAGCTCAGGAGGGATGCAGAGGGACAGTTGGGGTGGCCCCTCCCAGGGTGGGTCTTTGTAAAGGTTGGGGACAGCCAGGCCAGCAAGACCCTTGTGAGTCACAGCAGCTCCAGAACTTAAAGGTGGTGAGAGCAGGAAGGATTCTCGAAAGGCCTAAAGTGGAACACTTCCTCACACTTCTCAGTGAGGTGCCTGAGAAAAGGCTTTATGTATTTTTTTCTTTTCTTTATTTTTTTAAATACAGGGTCTTGCTCTATAGCTCTATGCTGGCCTTGAGCTTGATATAAATCCCATTTGACCTTGAACTTGAGATCCTCCTGCCTTAGCCTCCCAAATGTGGGATTACGAAAATGTGCCACCATACCTGGCTTTATAAAAGGACTTTCTAGAGTCCCAAAGTACCATACAGGTGTGTTGGCAACCCTGAATTCTTGTGGACAGTCCCAAGTTGGCTCTGTGCTGCCCATGATCTCCTTGTCATAAGGACTTTCCCCCAGTGTTCAAGAACAGTAGCTGCCCTGGGGGCTTTGAACGAGAGCTTCGGAAGTCCTGAAGTAGCCACTGACTGCTTGAGCTCAGGTAGGTAGTGGGAGTGAGCACCCGCAGCCAGTGTAAGGGGATATACAGACTCTGATTCAGGGGCTCAGAGCCTCACGGCCCCTGCACTTCCCACAGGGGCAATTGGACATTGTTTATCTCAAGAGTCCAGCTTTGGCTGCTGTGGCACCTGAGCTGCTGCTTGGCTTCTCTGAGATCATCACCCTCTCTCCAGGAGAGACCCTAGAGGCACCATCCTGTGGCGGGGTGGGACGCTGAGGACCATTCATCTAAGGACTAGGCCACCAAGCTGAGAAAGTAGCTGCAGAGGAAGAGAGGGAGGGCCCCGGCTAGGCTGATCTGAGAAGCCCAGTCCTGCCAAACTCCTGCTCAGCAGGCTACAGAATTCCAACAGAGTAAATGCAGCTTGGTCTTATCAATGGCCCCAGTCTGTGCTCCCACAGCCAGCCTGTGACACCACATATCTTCCCCAGGTTGTCTCCATGGATCCTGTGCCAGACCCTCCCTGCCCTGGTCACACATACCTATCCAGCCTGGGCAGAGGCCTCCGGGAGATGCAGCAGTTGGAGCTGAGCACAGGCTGTGGACAAGAGAGCCTCTCTCTGTTCTCTCAACAAGGGCCAAGTGTTAGTGCCTGGTGCCCCCAGCACAGAGCTCGGAACTTCCAGCAGTGGCAGCAGCGAGGGGGCTGGTGATGTCACATAGCATCCAGCAGAGCTTAAGATGGGATGAGAGACCTCTGTTTCCTTGGGTACACATCTCTCCCTGGTGCATGACAGCAGCAGCCCCAGCAGACTCTGGAGACCACTGGGCCTTGTTAGAGTGTGTATGACTGTCTGTATGCTACGTGCTAGTATTTTGTGCAGAGATGTAGTTTGGTGTGTCTCTGGTGTCAGAGTGGTTCTAGATTTTAGGTGTTTACGTCACTGTGTAGAAGAATGTGTGTGACAGCACTTATAGATGTGAGTGTATGTTCAGCATTGTTTTACTGTGTGTGTGGATATGATGTGTTTCAGTGTGTCAACGTGTAGTGTGTCAGTATGTGGGTCTGTATGAAAGCAACTACATGTCTGGAGATGAGCATGAGTGTCTAGTAATATGTGTGTTATTATGTAAATGAATGTGTACAGGTCCATTGCTATGTGTCTGTGTCTATATTAATATGCAGCATAGAATTTCACTATGTGTGCACACATGTGTGTGTGTATGAGCATGTACTCATGTATACAGGGGGCCCAACTGTAAGAACACATGATCTTAGGGGTCTACCAGGCACTATATAGAATCCTTGGTCTTAGGGGAGGCTCCGGGGACCTGGGCTGTGACCATGGAAGTCATACTGCCTGTCAAGAATCTGCAGATATTTCACAGAAGCTGGAGTTGGCTTTCAGTCCAGATGGCCTTGGTCTTTGGCTGCTGAGTACTTGGCCCCCAGAGTCTTCCCTTGTTGGCTCTTGGAGAGCTTTGAGCCACTGTCTCTAGGGCAGGCCTGATTGGCCCACAGCTCTCCTGCTGTGTAAGAACTAGGGTCCCAGGAGCACTCATTCACCAAGGCTGTGCTGCTGGGTGCAACCTTAGGCTCTTACGGGGTTCCTTACTTTATCAGGGGATCAAAGGAGTGGGCAATGCTCTAGAGAAGGAGTTGATAGTATCAACAGAGCTCCTGTCTTTCTGAAACTTTCTGAGTGGTTATATAATCACCATAAGGGAGGGATCCACAGGGTTGGAGCAGAAGAGGTAGGTTAGGGAGGGAACGAGTCCAGTGGCTTAGGCATTCTCATAGGCCCTGCAACGCAGGGGACCTGGAAGTGTTGAACCAAGAACACTGTAATAAACAGTATCAAAGCCTTTTGTTTTTCCACAAAACATAAATGTTGAACCAATATACAGGTCTGTAAGATGACATGTTGACAAAACACATACCCTGAGCAAGGACATTTCTTTTCAGTAACAAGACCCTGATGGGGGCCTTCGCTCATTAGTAGTGCTTAGAAGAGCATAACAATGGGTGCTAATACTAACCTAAGCATCCCCTACAGGGTGCCTCAGAATACCATGAGCCCTGGCGACGTCTACTCTTGACCTTGTACCCTGTCCAGACAGTCCCTCTCGCTCTCCTTTTCAGTTAGACTCCTCTGAAGAGCTGTCTGGACTCCTCACCTCTACTCCCTTTCCCTGCCACTTCTGGTCTCAGACTTCATCCCAACACTCTAAGGAATCAGTGAAAAATGGTCTCCTGTGTTACAGCCTGTGAAGGCTCCTGTGTCTTCTTCTTACTTAACCTGGTTTAGGCTTTGTGCCCTCCCTGGCACCCTCTTCCTGGCACCTTTCCTTTACCTACTTGGCTCCAGGAACTCCTGGGGTTCCTTCTGGCTCAGTCTCTTCACTGAACTCTCTTCCTCTTCTCCTTCAACTGTGGCCCAGTCCTTGAGTTTCCATTCATATTTATTCCTTATTGATATAAACTGGTTCAATGGCTTAACCCCATGTGCTTACATCCCCTCTGTCTAGAAAGCTCTTCATCCAGACATTCACATGGCTGGCTTCCACTTACATGGCAGAGGCCTCTGCTTCAGTGGCGCCTCTTGGAGAGGCTTGTGCAAATAGCAGATGACAGGTTGTCCTGGTCTATCTAGACCGTAGGGCTTCCAGTGCTAAGTCTGCACAGTCCTAAGCAAACCAGGGTGGCTGGTCCATTCCCTCCAGAGCAGCTGTCCTCTCACCCCTAGGCTTTGCAACACTCATCACTCTCTGCTCTCCCCACCACCACCATGCCTCTATTTAAGTGCTTTATTCTCTCTCTCTCTCTCTCTCTGTGTCTCTCTCTCTCTCTGTCTCTTATCTCTCTCTGTCTCTGTCTCTCTCTGTCTCTCTCTCTTTGGTTTTTCTTGAGTCAGGGTCTCCCTGCCCTGGAACTCACTATGTAGACCAGGCTAGCCTTGAACTCACAGAAATCCTTCTGCCTCTGCCTCCTGAGTGCTGGGATTAAAGGCATGCGCCACCATGCCCAGCTTTATTTTTCTCTTTGAACTAGAACATCAGCTCCATGAGGGCAAAGACTTATTCACTATTGAATCCTCAGCATCTAGCACTGACCTGGAATATGGTAGGTGTGGATAAATCATGGTACATATGGGGCTGGAGAGATGGCTCAGCGGTTAAGAGCATTGACTGCTCTTGCAGAGGACCCAGGTTTGATTCCCAGCACCCACATGGCGGCTATGAACCGTCCTTAACTCCAGTTCCAGGGGAATCAGAAGCTCTCTTCTGACCCGCGGCATTGCATGACTCACATACATGCAGGCAATACATTCATACACATAAAATAAAAATAATAAATAAAATATTTTAAAAAATCATGGTACATATACAAAATGGAAAATTATCAACCCAAACCTCTGTCTATATAAGTCTACATAAATCAAAGCAGAAGTACAAATATGATGCAATAATCATGCAAAAACAAGTTTCAAAGTGGTAGGTGCACTAGCACTACTGATTTATAAAAGTGAACGAAAGATAGTGCACGTTTGTGTGAATAGCCACAAAAGGCAGCAGGCCTTGACCAGAGGGTCTTAGATTAGATTACTTGTTCTCATTTTTATTTATTTTATGTGTATGAGTATTTTGCCTGGGTGTGTATGAGTGCACCTGTGTCGTAAAGTGCCTTTGGAGGTCAGAAGAGAGCACCAGATCCCCTGGAACTGGAGTTACAGATGGTTATTAGCCACCATATGGGTGCTGGAGACTGAACCAAGATTCTCTGCAAGAGCAATCAGTACTCTTAACAATTGAGCCATCTCTCTGACCCCAAATTTTGGACTTACTAGGTAAAATTTCTCACAATTTCGCTGTTCAGTTAACAAAGTACCAAGCCCTGGTGGGAACTTCAACATGCTCATTACCCACTCTCTCCCTGTCTCCCTTGACTAGGACCACAATCTCCCAAGTTCCTAAGATTTCTTTCTCTTGCACTAATGTTTTGTGACTTTTTGGTCCAACCTGGACATGGGTTTCCACTCCTGATTATTATTGTTCCATTTATTTATTTCTATTTATTGTGTGTGCACACCTGTGTGTGCACACATCTTGACACACCTGTGGAGGTAAAAGGACAACTTACAAGAGTCAGTTCTCTCCTTCTATCATGTGGGTCCCAGAGATTGAACTCAGGTTGGCAGGCTTGGTGGCAAGCACCTTTGACCTGCTGTGATGGTTTGAATGAGAATGTCTCCCATAGACTCCAAATGTTTGGACATTTTTGTCCCCAGTTGGTGGTGCTGTTTTAGGAGGTCTTAGAAGGTGTGGCCATACTAGAGGAAGCACATCCCTGAGGGCAGGCTTAGAGAGTTCTTAAGCCTTCTGGATCTCCTGCGCCTGCTGGAAGATGTGAGCATTTAGCTTCTGCTCCTACTCCAGCCACCTCTGCCACCATGCCTCCTCACCATGATGGACTTTTGCCCCTTTGGAACAGTAAGTTAAAATGAACTCTTCCTTTTTTAAGTTCCCTTGGTCATGGTGTTTCTATCACAGCAACAGAAAAGTAACTAATACATCTGCTGAGTTATCTCAATGACTTTTCTCCTGATCCATAGTGGCCCTTCACCCAAGTCCATCCAAGAGCCCTCAAGCCTGTCTCTCTCCTTATTTGCTGTTGCCTAGATAGACTTGCCTTCCTTTGATCCTTCACTGGGTGGGCCTGCTTCCATCTCCTTGGACCTGCACTATGGCTAGGGTAGGAGCACTACACAGTTCTCTATCTTGGGAACCTTACCCCTACCAAACTGACCTGCTTGCCCAACCCTTTCATAGTTCCTCATTTGCCTTCCCCAGAAGCTTTGCCAGGTGTATCGCCTTCTGTCATTGTAACTGGCTTCACTCCACTGTCATGTGACATTCATCTGCCTGCCCAACTCAAGGGTCTTATTTTGTTCCTACAACTTCATGGGCTAGGAACTATTATCATCCATGCCTGCTTTGTGTGTGTGTGTGTGTGTGTGTGTGTGTGTGTGTGTGTATACATGTGCTTAGTGGCTGAGATCAAACCCAAGGCCTCATGCATGATAACCAAGTACTCTACCTCTGAGCTATAGCTCCAGCCACTTCATTCTTATTTTAATTAAGAAGGAAATCAAAACACAGAGAAATGACTTGATCAAGATACCACACCAACAAATGTGATCACTAGAATTTGAACCCAGGTAGGTTAACTCAAAAGACCATGACCTGGAATTTCTGAAAGACGTTAGAAAAGAAAATGAAAGTGGGGAAGAAGTGAAGGTATGCACCAGCTAGTTAAGGAAGAAGGAATTAGGCAGCAGAGAACAGAAATTAAGCCACCAAGAAGAAATTAGGGAGTTAGGAGAAAGAGGAAAGAAACTAGGAAACAAGAAAACTAGGATGACCGGGCTGGTGGCGCACGCCTTTAATCCCAGCACTGGAGAGGCAGAGGCAGGTGGATCTCTGTGAGTTCAAGGCCAGCCTGATGTACATAGAGAGTTCCAGGTCATCCAGGGCTACATGGTGAGACCCTGTCTCAAAAAACCAAAAAGGATAAAAGGAAAATAAAAGTAGTACGGAAGAAAAAGCATAAAGGGAGGGAAAGAAGTTAAGATGGAAAAAAGGAAGGAAGGGCGAAAGAGAAAGAAAACAGTCAGAAAGGAAGTTAGCTAGGTACCTAGTCATTTGGGGCACATGAGAGCAAAGTAGGTGCTCTGCTCATCAGGGGAGGGCACCCCTCACCTGGAAACCCTGGGTCCCAGTGCAGGTCCGGGAGAGCTGCGTCCTCTCTCCGCATGGTCCTTCTGACCTGAAACCAAATCCCAACTCGCCCAGCAACTTTCCCAGGCAGGAGTGACCTGTCACCCACTCGCCTGACTCTCAAACCTGCTCAAGTTCAGCCTCCAAGTCCTGCCAGCTGGGAACTGGCTTCAGGGCTTTCCAGTTACTAATTAACCCCTGGATTGAATCACCATGGTTGCTGTACCACTGGCTCCTGGACAGCCGTGCCCTGGGGACCCTCTGAACTGTTAAAAGCTATTGAACAATTTAGGTTGTATGACCTTGGACAAGTGACTTAAGGCCTCAGACCCTCACGTGAACCATCAACGATATGTCCCCTGCCTTGGTGAAGGGTCTCCAAAGTCTCTTCCAACACTGTCATATTTCTGTTCTTGAAACAACCCCCTTCCCAAGGTGCAGCTGAAAGGCAGACTTGTCCACTTAGCTTTCTCCAATACTTTCAGTTGAATGGCTGTCCTTCTTTCCTAGAGCCTGGAGAAGGGACCATGGGAAGACCCATTTCACCCAACTCTCACCCACGGCTTTCCTGATGGCCGCTAGCCTCTGCACTCAGCACTCCTTTGATACTTCCAGGGATGGGCTTCTCACTCCTTTGGATCCCACCTCATTGTTGAACCCCTCTGGCATTCTGTTGTATTGAGCCAATACCAGCCACCCAGGGCTCATCTGCCCTGGCACTACCTTAGGAGGCGAATGACAGCACGGTGGAGACTCATGCCTTGCTCTGCCTTTTGGAGCTCTGAGGCTTAGGATCCAGGGCTCACTTTGTCTTAGCTGATGTGAACAGAAGGCTTTCTTGTGAGGAATCCAAAGCTGCCAGGCCAAGCATTCTAAGTTGGGCAGGAGCAGGTCCAGGCTACTGGATATGGACAGGTGGGAAAAGATCTGCCCAGTGACCTCTTGCAGTGGGCACCTTAGAATTGGACTTGCACTCTGCTTAAAACGGGGTCTTGTGTATCCCAGGCTGGTCTGGAACTCCCATAACTGAGTATGATGAACTTCTAAGTCTCCTGTCTCCTCCTCCTAGGACACTAGGTTTTCAGGTTGACATCACTATATCCAGATTTTATGTGGTGCTGGGGATCAAACCCAACACTTCATGCGTGCTAGGCAAGCATTCTAACAACTGGCCTACACCCCAGCTCTCTACCATTGTCTTCAGATTAACCTGTCAACAACTCAATGGTCAGGTTTAGTGCCTTAAAAATGACTGCTCTGAAGCTTTCCAGAGCACTGCAAAGCCTCAGATCCCCGTCTGTCCTGACACACACACACAAGCACATATCTGGTCCTGGCCCAGAAAGGGGCGGTGTCTGGTCCAAGTACAAAGAGCAAATCAGGACAGTGGCCAGGGCCCGGCCTCTCTCACTGCTGCTGCTCTGCCAAGCTCCTCCTCCTCTGATTCCCAGCAATGATTTTTTAAAAAAAACAAAAAGACACAATGGTATTGATTGTACAAACTGTATGGAAGAATTTCAACAAAGGGAAGAATGTCAAATAAAAAGTGAAAGTTTTCCCTCTACACCCTTCTTCAGGCTCATTTCCAGAAGTGAGTACTGTTAGTTACAGGGTCGTAACCCTCCCGGATTTTGGTCTGTGCCTTAATAGACATACCCACATATATTTTTTTACCCTGGAAACTGAGCCATAATATACATATTGCTCAGCAATTTTTACTCATAAATATCTTTTTTTTTTTTTTTTTTGAGACAGGGTCTCCCTGTAGCCGCAGCTGTCCTGGAACTCACTATGTAGACCAGGCTGGCCTTGAACTCATAGAGATCTGCCTGCCTCTGCCTCCCAAGTGCTGGGATTAAAGGCGTGTGCCACCACACCTGGCTCATACATATCTTTTAAAATTTTTAAATTTTTTATATTTATGTGTATGCGTATTTTGCCTGCATTGCCATGCAATGCTTGCAGAGGCTAGTAAGGGCATTGAATCCCCTGGAACTGGAGTTATGGATGGTCGTTAGCCATCATGTGGGTGCTAGGAACCGAACCCGGGTCCTCTGCAAGAGCAAGCAGTGTTCTTAATCCCTGAGCCATCTCTCCAGTCCCCTCATGTATATCTTTTTATTTCAACACAGATTCAACTTTATTTTTTTTTAAGAGCACTGGCTGCTCTTGCAGAGGATCTGGGTTTGAATCCCTGTACCCACTTGGTAGCTAATAACTGTTCGTAACTCCAGTTCTAGGGGATCTGATATCTTCTTCTGACCTCCGTGGGTGTTGCATGACATGGGTGTGCAGGCAAAATACTCATACACATAAAATAAAAATAATAAATGTTTTTAAAAATTATTTATTTTATATGTGTGTGTGTGTGTGTGTGTGTGTGTGTGTGTACCTGAGTGTATGTATGTGTACTAGTGCACACAGTTGCCTGCAGAGGTCAGAAGATGTTGGATTCGCTGGAGTTATAGGTGGTTGTGAGCCACCAGATGTTGGTGCTGGGAACTGAACCTAAATCTTTTGCAAGAGCAGCAAGGAACCACTGAGCCATATTAGTAGTAGTAGTAGTAGTAGTAGTAGTAGTAGTAGTAGCAGTAGTAGCTGGGGGAGTGGGTTGTGTGCGCACAGTATGTATGGAAGTCAGAGGAAAACTTTTAGGAGTTGGTTTTCTCCTTTCAGTTTTATGTGGGTTCTGGGGTTCAACCTCATTGCCAGCCAAACTTAATTTTTTTCTAACAGCTGAATCACACCGCATAGTGTGACATTAATTTCATGGTTCCTATTTTTTGGGTTTTTGTTTTGTTTTGTTTTGTTTTGCTATGAGACTTTTGTCCTCTTAACAGCTTCATGATACTTTTAACAAGGCTGCAGAAAATGTGTGCTCTTGTGTTAATATTTCTGTCTATCCTCTAAGTGGAAAAGTTGGCCTTCTTGCTCAGTGATATGCAGAAAATAGCCAAGATATCTCTTGTGATGATATACATACCTTCGCCCATTTTCTCTTCCTTTTTTTCCCTTCCCTCCTCCCTGGATGAGCTCTGCTGTTTGGGTATGAGGGTCAAAGATACATTCTCAGGGATGAGAACAGGGACACGAGAGACTGAACCAGTGGAAACTTATGTTTATGATTGGTCCCTCTGCCTTGACACACCTCACATTTTTGTCCTTTGGCCCCACTTCTGTCCACACCTCTACTGCACCTGCAGACTCATGTATAGGCAGAGTGAATCATGGGCTCAGGGTAGTCCAGAAAACTGCTCTTACCCATGTGGCACCAGCAGCTTTGAGCCAACAGACTTATACACAGGAAGGGAGGGTATGAGTTCTAGTTTTCTTTTTGGGAAAAACATATGAAAAATGTACAAAGTTAAAAATAAAATAGGAACACTAGCTGGATAATGAAAAAAAATCTGTTCTTTGCCCCATACCCCACCTCTTTAGATCTTCCCTCCAGGCGTCACCTCCCTTTGTCTAAAAATATGCTCATACTGCTCTTTTGTTTTGTTTTGTTTTTTGTCTTTTTGAGACAGGGTCTCCTTGTAGCCCCAGCTGGTCTGAAACTCGCTGTGTAGACCAGGCTGGCCTGGAGCTCACAGAGATCCTCCTGCCTCTGCTTCCTAAGTGCTGGAATTAAAGGCGTGCACCACTATGCCAGGTGTATACTGCTTTTCTTCCATCTTTTAGTTTAATACATTGTCAAAGGGCTTCCTTCTCCTGTGGAGCATATTTAGATCTTCCCCCTCCAAACACACACTCCTGCTTTCCCCAAAGTTAGTTTATAATTGCCTCATTTGATGGCTTGAAAAACTTCATATGTCTATAGAATATACATACATAGTCAATTTATGTGGTGAGAACGTACATAAAAGTTGCATAGTGCTTAGTGATGGGGATAGGATCTGAGAAGTGTCTTGTTAGGTGATTTCACATGAACATCATAGAGTGTCCTTCCACAAACTAAGATGGATATGATGTCACTAGATGATTTAATCTTATAGGACCAATTATCCTAACTGCGGTCCATTATTGGCCAAGAAGTCATTATGTGGTGCATGCTGTATACTGAATATTGTTACTGAGAATTATGCATCATCATACATAATTCTGATAGAATCAGCATATTCTCTTAACACATCTGCCTGGATCTGTTTACGTCTTTTCCACCCTTCCTGCCTTTATTCATTCTCCTGTTCTTCACGAGATGGTTGTTAAGTATCATCCTGACCCTTCCTTTCCGATCACTTTGGAAATTCCCCATGTGTCTCTCTTGGTAGATGGTCTGCTTTACAGATCCTATGTATTCCTGTGGAAAAAAAAATTGTGGCTTGGTGAGATGGCTTAGTGGGCAAATCACTTGTCAGGCAAACCTGATGATTTGAACTCAGGTATCCAGAATCCACATAAAAGCTGGATGAAGTAGCTCAAATATCTCTTTACTGGGGGATGGGAAGCAAAGAGAATCTCCAGAAACTCATGGGCCAGCTAGCCTGATGTATGCATTAGTGAACAAGAGAGATCCTGTCTCGAATAAGGTAGAAGGTGAGGACCAACACCTGAGGCCGTCCTCTGACCTCCATATAAGCACTCAGAATAACATATGCACACCCATACTCACACACATTCCAATTATTTTATTGTATTGTAAATATGATATATGTATTTGTGCTGGATAGCTTTGGTGTCAACTTGACACACTTGGGTTGAGGGAGTCTCAATTTGGGGAATTGTTTTCATTGGGCTGGCCTGTGGCCATGTCCATGGGGCACCTTCTTGATTGTTGAGTAATGTGGGAGGGCCCAGTCCACTGTGGGTGGTGCCACCCCGGGAAGGTGGGCCTGTGTTGCATAAGAAAGCAGGTTGAGCAGGGGCCAGGGGACCAAGTCAGTAAGCAGTGTTCCTCCTTGGCCTGTGCTCCAGCTCCAGCCTCCAGGTCCCTGCCCTGCCCTGCCCTACCTTGGGCTCCTGGATGAACTGTGACCTGGGAGATGTAAGACAAACCCTTTCCTCCCCAAGTTGGTAGTGGTCAGAGTATTTTGTCACAGCAATGGAGAGACAAACGAGGACAATATTTATGA